AACACACTTATTTTTGAAAGGGTGCCGTTCTCGTTTCATGGAAACCAATGAACACCAAAACAAGTCTAACTATTGACATATTTTCCAATCAGGTTCAAGTTGGTGGAAAGAAGAACAGCGTCATTCTTCAGAAGCTGACCCCTGACACCCCTTATTCCATAACCGTGGCTGCCGTCTATCGCACCGGAGAAAGTAAAGATATTTCCGGCCAAGGAAAAACAAGTAAGCGGCTCCAAGACAGTCCTTTCAACGTCCTGAAGTATTTTATGACTCCATTTGGGAAGCGAAAACAATGATAAACTCATTTAGGGAGGATGCATTCCATAAAACATCTTGTTTTTCGCTCACATCTGGAGTTTTGTCAGATTATTCGAGATGTTATGCAATGAAAATGAGATGGCATTATGTAACACTGTGTGTGGTGTTCCTGTAGAAGCCTTAGGAGGAGTGAGAAACCTGCAAGTTTTGAACCCCACCATGACCACACTGAATGTTCGTTGGGAGCCGGCGGAAGGAAAAGTGAAGGAGTATAAGGTCATCTACGTACCTGCGGCTGGCAGTGCCGAAAGCATGGTAGGACTGGTAGGACGTCAAGAATCAACTAAAGAGTAAACTACAATTCGATGTTCAGATCAACCATAAATATTGATTTGCAGACCTCAAGTCGAAGTGATTTGCAATGTTTCTTTGACTTAAACAGGCCTTATACTGTATATTCTTTCATGAAAACAGGAGCAGATATCAGGAACCACCACCAGCACAGTTCTGAGAGGCCTTCAGTCTGACACGCTTTACACCGTGACCTTAATTCCTGTTTACGCAGAGGGAGATGGCCAGAGAATGTCTGAGAATGGAAAAACAAGTGAGTTTCTCTCAGAAACCTCAGTGTCTTACTCTCAATATCTTGCTTTCACTGATTAAGAATGAAAAATAGGTGACTAAACGACTCCTTCTGACGTTTCTGTCTGATTCTCTTTTCCGTAGAGATTATTATGAGCTTACGTGCAAATTTACAGCCAACAAAGGTTCTAAGAAGAGGTTCTTTGTTAAGCCCAGAATGTTTATTTTTAGGAGTGAATATACATATTGCACCACTCTGTCCAAACTCCAGGCTGGAAGTACGATCTGGATTATGCTTCATACACTTAATGCCAAAACAGTAAAATGGAAATTTTCTTTACAGGGGCCCTGGGTGGTGTGAAGAATCTGAGGGTCACCGACCCAACCATGACCTCTCTGAATGTCAAATGGGACCCCGCGGACGGGGCCGTGCGCCAGTACAAAATATTCTTTGTCCCAGCAGCTGGAGGAACTGAGGCGATGGTGGGGCTTTGTTTCTCACAACTATTATTCCATAAGAAAAAATAATAAATTTTAAACAGTACTTTAGAAAATTAACCTTTTTTTTGTGCTTAATTGTCATAAAAATAATGTCTTGTTGCAAAAAAGTAAAATATTAATATGTTTAATTTATATAGCGCCTTTCCCAGGCTCAAGGATGCTTTACATAAGCAGTAACACAATGAACAGTCATTTCACATAGTCACAGACAGACAGCTCAGATAATCAATTGAGTTGGACAGTAGACATTTGCCCAGTCCAGAAACAACAAAATGATTGCAGTTGCATATCATGATATAGCAAAGACATATAGAAACAACATAGTAACACATAACAACATAGAAAATGGATAGTATTAACAAACAAACAAACATAAAGAGCAGCAAAAAATGCAAAACAGATACACATGACTTAAAATACTTAGAGAAAGCTTTACAACTGGTAGTACAGGAGTTGGAAAGTGTCTAAAGAAACTTTATTATATAAAGACATCACTCAAGACATCACTGAAGTTATTTTTCCCATTGTTGTAAATAGGAACAAATACCTGGCGCCCAAACGTCTATTGTTTTAAGAAACCTGCAGCCTGATACTCCATACACAGTGTCCGTGGTTCCAGTGTTTCCCGCCACAGAGGGCAGGCGCCAGTCTGAGAGTGGAAGGACATGTGTGTATCAACCTTGTAGCTTATTTAGGTATCTATGCACAGACACACTATCTCTGTTATAAAACTATTGTCTATCTCACTCTAGTGCCTCTTGGAGGTGTTCGAAACCTCCGTCTCATTGATCCCACCTTCACAACACTCACTGCCACATGGGATGCCGCCGACGGGAACGTGCAGGGCTACAAAGTGTTATACGTGCCCACCAACGGAGGAACTGAGCTCATGGTAGGAATATCTGAATATTTCAAAGTTTGTTTATACAGTGTTGATGTCACAAGTGGAAATCTCTCTAAAATCTAATGGCATAGCTTGCAGACAGACGTATATAGACATAGTCTTCCTTTGAGGACCAGAGATGAGAGAGTGATGTAATGAAACTCTAGTTGAATTCTCATTACGCTGAAAAACCTGCGGGAAAGTTTACAACTGGGAGCACCAATGTTTAGACGGAGCTGGAGTAAACTGAAAACAATCTGTTTGGCAAGCTACAAAGAGAGAGTTCGGTTTTCTTTTAGTTTACAAGTTTAGTTTTCTTTATCTCTTTAAATGGGTAGACCTTGTGCAACCAGTCTTTGTTAAAACAAACTAGGGTTCCTTAGTTGGAATGGGTTTGAAGAAGATATAGTGTACTGAGCTCCATTTTCTTTCAGGAACAAGTGTCTGAGAGCACCACAACATTAGTGCTGAGTAAACTCCTGCCAGACACCATGTACACAGTGACTGTTTTGCCAGTGTACGCTGAAGGAGATGGACCTCAACTCTCTCAGAAGGAAAAGACTAGTAAGTGACTCCAAAATGACATCAGGAGGTTTGGACACATTTCGTCAATCTTGAGTCAACTTTGTTGTTGTCTCCTTAGAACCTTTGGGCAGTGTGAGGAACCTACAGGTAACAGATCCAACTATCAGCACCTTGAACGTACGCTGGGAGCCGGCAGAAGGCAACGTGCGGGAATACATCGTCATTTACGTTGCCGCCGGAAGCCTAGATCAAGAAGTGGTGAGAATGATTTCCATGGATGTTCCAGAAATAGCAAACAAGACTGTAGTTTCTGTTGCCACTCATACACTTACGAGTGATTTGATTTGGTTTTGAAACTTGTAAATGGATGTTTTGAACTTACTACTGTATATAAATTATTTGTTCTTCCATATGTAAATTTCACAAAATGTGCTTGTTATACAAATTACACCTGTAAAGCATTTCCAAGCTCTACAATTAATGCGAATGTTTCCATTCTAGAGTTGCAAACAGGTTGTATATTTTTATTGAAACACTGCTGTCTTGCAGGATCAAGTCTCTGGAACCACAACTTCCACTGTTCTGAAGAACTTGGAGCCCGACACAACCTACACTGTGACATTGGTGCCAGTATATCATGAGATGGAAGGCAAACCTCTTTCTGAGAATGGAAGAACAAGTGAGTTCATTGTGAAGACATACCATAGTGCACCTTTGAATAAACTTGGCCACAAATTGAAATGTCTGGCTATTGTTTAGAATGACTCGGGTATTAAAGTTCACGTATCCGTGCTTTTCAGGACCATTGGGTGGAGTTCGCAACCTTCAGGTTACTGATCCCACCAGCAGCACCCTAAATGTGCGATGGGAGCATGCTGATGGAAACCCTCGCAATTACAAGGTTTTCTATGTCCCGCAGCCTGGAGACAGTGAGAAGATGGTAAGATGTGATGAGGTAGCCTCTAATGGTTTATATGAAGGACGTTCCACATTGTGACCAAATCTCTTGTTTTTGTGACCAGGAACTAGTTTCCGGTGGCACGACAAGTACCGTCCTACGTAATCTCAATGCTAACACGGTGTACAAGGTCACATTGTTGCCTATGTATGAAAATGACGTGGAAGGAAAACGTCAGTCAGAAAATGGAAAGACAAGTGAGTCGAGATGTTTGTAACTTGCAATTTCGGGATGGAGGGATCCCTGTTTATTGTCTGAGTTCAACATCTCTGATTTATTAACCCAGAACCTTTGGGAAGTGTGAAGAACCTCCAGGTGACAGACCCAACTGTGAACTCTTTGAGAGTGCGATGGGACCCAGCAGATGGAGATGTTCGTCAGTACAATGTCATCTACGTGCCTGTTGCCGGTGGTGCTTCAAGCATGGTAATTAATTAAATTAAAATTTTTGTCGAATTTGTCCATTTGGTTTGCTTGTTATTAACTGTGTGGCTGTACTGATGTACTCTTCAGACCCAAGTATCGGGAATGTCCACCAATACTATTCTGAGAAACCTACAACCAGACACAGAGTACAGGGTCACTGTAGTACCAGTATATCCCGATGCCGAAGGAAAGAAACAGTCCGAGAATGGAAAAACAAGTGCGTACCTGCAATGTCAAGTTTGGATGTTACTCCCTTAGCACGTAGCATGCTTAATTTCATTTCTCGCAATTCTCAGAGCCTCTGGGTGGAGTAAAGAAACTGCAGGTCACCGATCCCACAACGAGCTCGTTGAAGGTGCGCTGGGAGCCCGCCGAAGGTAACGTCCGGCAGTATCGAATCTTCTACGTCCCAGCAACTGGTGGTGCTGAAGACATGGTAAGAGCTGATCTACGGAAGAGGCTCAACTGTCTTTCCGGACATGCAGCTGATCTTCAATAACTTTGTTTAAATTTCAAACGTCAACAGGAGCAAGTTTCTGGAGGCACCACCAACACAGTCCTAAGGAACCTTCTGTCAGACACGGTCTATACAGTGACTGTGGTTCCCGTTTATCCAGAGGGAGAGGGTCTCCGACAGTCTGAGAAAGGAAAGACACGTAAGTCGTACTTGGCAGTTAAGCATCACTATTACTATCGCACAAAAATCGTGAGGTGCCAAGTGATCAAATCGAGCGGCTTGTTGAGTAGAGCTGTGATATGGCGTTTCTTAGTTTTCAGATTTTTTCAGGATTTTTGTCGGACAGAGAGTAAAAGGGAGGGACCCAAGTCTTATTTTTAGACTTGGACCATACATTTCCCAAAACTCCATAGCAACAGTGAAAATAGTTTCAACACCCTAAGTAGCCACTCGAAACAGTTTAGCAACTGGGTTTTATATGCTTCACAACTCATTGTGGAGAATCAACACAATTTATGCATGTTTGTATAAATGCTAAAAATGGGTTTTATGTTAGCTCACTACTAAATTGTATACGCAGAGCAACAACTACAGGATTAGGATGCTTGAGTTTTTATTTATGCTAGTGAGTTGCACTAAAAGAAACTGGATCCTTTGAACTCATGTTGGAGAGTTTTTAACAGATTTCTGTAAGAACAGTCACATCTGCTTCGGTTTAAAAAGCGTACTAAGCAGTTTTAGCATCAACCCTAAATGCCCCCCACCACCTGCCTTTCCTTTTTGGCACTTTCTCACCATAAAACTCGTCTGCGCCGCTGTCGAATGCTTCGCTCAGCATTCATTCCTGAACTTTACTGAGCTTCCTCCTGTTAAAAAGCTTCTGTGAGCTGTTCAACTTCCTCTGCTGTTCTGTAAATTCCTTGTTCTCACTCTGCTGTTTAGTGGCTTCTTATTCAACACACTCTCACCCTCTTTCACAGTTCCAAGAGTCCCACCCCGGAATATCCATGTCTACAACCCAACTCCCAACAGTCTGAATGTGCGCTGGGAACCCGCCTCGGGCCAGGTGCAGCAGTACAGGGTCGCCTACGCCCCACTGAGTGGGATCCGATCGCTTGAGTCTGTGAGTGATGCACAATTCTGCATATTTACATTTATGCATTTTAGGGACACTTTTATGCGTAAGTAATACGTTTAATATACATTAAATGTATGTGTGTTTCCTGAAAATCAGTGATTTAGCATCATTATCTCCCAATCGAGGTTCAGTAACACCATATGAAATATTGTTTCAAGGTGTTTTCAGCAATTTTGGACACAGCTTATCCAATCAGAATGCAATCAATTGATAGTTAATCTGCAGTCTCACCATAAAACTCGTCTGCGCCGCTGTCGAATGCTTCGCTCAGCATTCATTCCTGAACTTTACTGAGCTTCCTCCTGTTAAAAAGCTTCTGTGAGCTGTTCAACTTCCTCTGCTGTTCTGTAAATTCCTTGTTCTCACTCTGCTGTTTAGTGGCTTCTTATTCAACACACTCTCACCCTCTTTCACAGTTCCAAGAGTCCCACCCCGGAATATCCATGTCTACAACCCAACTCCCAACAGTCTGAATGTGCGCTGGGAACCCGCCTCGGGCCAGGTGCAGCAGTACAGGGTCGCCTACGCCCCACTGAGTGGGATCCGATCGCTTGAGTCTGTGAGTGATGCACAATTCTGCATATTTACATTTATGCATTTTAGGGACACTTTTATGCGTAAGTAATACGTTTAATATACATTAAATGTATGTGTGTTTCCTGAAAATCAGTGATTTAGCATCATTATCTCCCAATCGAGGTTCAGGAACACCATATGAAATATTGTTTCAAGGTGTTTTCAGCAATTTTGGTCAGAATGCAATCAATTGATAGTTAATCTGCAGTCAAGCATCAACTTGAAAAAAAATTGTTTGCCACACTACACAAGTACAAAAAAACCTAGTAGCTAACGACATTAAGACTGTAAAAGGGGGCATGCCATTTTAGATAGTTATTAGACTATATAATAAAAACCAACAAGGACCTCAATTAACTCAAACATGTAAATTTACACAAAATGCAGCTAATAAACCCAAAACAAAGACAATGAATTGAAAACAAAATGATAAACTGCCATATTTAACTAAATATTTATTAAACTACAGCAAGTAAAATGGCTTTTGTGAACCCTACTGGGGGATGACTCATATGAATCTGCGAATCTATTTATTTGAACAAGTTCATTGCTACAACAAACCATCTGAATCGATTCACTGAAATTAATTAGACTTTCCAATACTACTTCAGAGAAAGAGAGAGAGGGGGGAATATTTTAGGATAACATGTCTGTTTATTGCCTCGGCTTGCTTGGCAATGTAGTATTTTTATTTAAGATCCACCGCTACATAATGGACATAGTAGTTCGTTATTGAACAACTGAAAACTAGTTTTTGTTTTTGCTACTTTCAAGGTATTTTAAGTTAGTTGTGTCATTAATTAAAGTCACTACTCAGGATGTTTAGCACCTACGCTTTTGCTTTTGGGCATCTTTTGCTGTGTTTGCCATAGAGAGAAGCTCTTTAGGGACTGTATATAGACTCTCAGGCTCACAAGTCTCCCTGCATAACTAAACAAAACAAGTTGGGACACAAAAGAGAAATTTTCATATCCTGCATGCTGACCCATATTTGTCAAACCCATCAGTTTGTGCCAGAACTGATTCTGTCATAAGCGTTGGTGTGTATGGAAAGTATGCAGCTGCCATCAGTGATGTGAAGCCTACAAATGAGAAACAAATAAGCAGATGGGGTGATAATCCTGCAGCGTGTTGACAGGTAGCTGACGGGGTTTCCCCGTCACCCCCGAATCCAGTCTCTCTTCGGCTCCCGCCGCTCCCCGGGGGCAATTACGCTGATCCGACAGTATTTATGTAGCATTTAACCCCATGAGCACATCTGTTTGCATTACATATCTATTTGGAAATGTTATCTAGCTCTGCTAATCTAAACAGGAGCTTAACGGTGACATCATTATGTATATTCGCTTTGCCAGATTCGTATCGTCTGTGCTGGGTTGTCATACAGTGGATGTTTGTGAATATACTTGTCTTTGTGTTATCTAAACGATGGTCTTCTCCACAGGTTCTCGTTCCTGGCAACATCAACAATGCTTTCCTGGATCAGCTCGTCCCGGATACGCCGTACTCTGTGAATGTGATGGCGGTATATGCTGATGGAGAAGGCCCAGGAATTGACGGAAAAGGAAAAACATGTGAGTTACATCTTTAAAAATGATGCTTTATGGCATTAAATGGAAGTTCACTCTGTTTATTAAATGCATGTTATAGATCTCATTGTGAATTAATCCATGCATATATTTATTTTTTGCAGTACCACGAGCTGGACCCAGGAACATGAGGGTCTTCGAAACCACCACAAGCACGATTAGCATCGGCTGGGATCACGCTGAGGGTCCCGTACAACAATATAAGATCGCGTATGCTCCGTTGACGGGAGATCCCATTACAGAATTTGTGAGTAAAAGTATATATTTAGTTATTCACTCCTTCACTACTTTTCATTTAAGGATTCTTTCTATCTGCACTACATTTAGGTCTACAAAATGAAGTGAACATAAACAAAAAAATATACTGTACATGATTCATCAGTGCACATTGTTCTGAAGAAACCAAAGTCTCAATTGATAATTGGCTGTGGTTATTCAGCAAAAAATCTGATGATTTTCTCTGCAGACTGTTGTTCCCGGCAACAGAAATAATGCTATCCTTCAAAATCTGCTTCCTGACACCCCGTACAACATCACAGTTACGGCAGTTTATCCTGAGGGACCTGGCGGATCCCTAAACGGAAATGGAAGAACACGTAAGTCACACGAACTGCTCTCGCAAAACATGCACTGCTTTGATTTCTCACCTTTGGATGCATTTTCTGTGATTGCTATACAAATCGCATCCCAAATCACGTACTAATGCACTATTCCATGATGTTTTGTAGTATTAATAATGTGAGCTATGTGTTCACAATGAAAATATTTTTTAAAAAGTGTCTGTCAGACTCCGGTTATGAATGACAAGATATAAGACCTTATATAATTCATACATTACATAGTTGAGCACATAGTGTATAGTGCGTCATTTGGAATGCAGCTAGTATGTTTTGGAGTAACTACCTAAAAGTTGCAACATTACTTGTTTAATGCATTTTTAAATAGTGTGACATTCTTTCAGCTGTTTTTATAAAAATTGTGCTACTTTAAATGATAAGTATCTTAATTATAAGTATAATATAAGTCATTTTAGTATTATTTATTTGCTATTGTTTTTATTTATATTTTGAATTAGTGTTTATTTTTATATTTTTGGTGATTTTGTTATGTGCTTTTGTCATTAGTTTTTTTTTTTTTTTTAAATATTGCTATTTTGATTTTGTTTTTTATTTTAATTTGGTTGTTTTTAGAGTTTTTTTAGTGTTTTATTTTTTATTTATTTTCAGTTAATTTTAGTACTTCAGCTTTCAGTTTTTTTTTTACTACAACAACATTCTTATTTTCATTTATATATATATTATTTATTTGTTTCTTCTTCTTTTTTTTGTTAAAAAAACTTGATTTATTAGTTTTAGTTTTAATTTTAGTTAACGATAATAAGTAGTAAGTACAAGTAACTTCCCCAAAACTGCAACTCTCAACCCTAAGACATTCTTAAGGGTTAAAGGAGAATATGAGTAATTAATTGCTGGTATTGGGCATGGTGGAGAGTCTGGAAAATTGTGTTTGCGTTGGCATAAGCTTGCATTAAATCTGCAAGTTGGCATGGGCTAAAATCCAGAACACCCTTCAGCTACCAGCAACAGCTCAGCACAACTAAAACATTACTGTACATCTGTGTAATTCTTGTTATAAGGTTTTTAACCACAAGTCTTACTTACTTTGGATCTTATGTTCAGTCGGCCTGTTGGCACCTCAGAACCTGCGTGTCTCAGACGAGTGGTACACACGCTTCCGTGTGTCCTGGGATCCAGCTCCAGCTCCGGTCATGGGCTACAAACTAGTTTATCAACCAACAGGTACCAAATACTGCAGTAGTGTGAGATCACTGCATGCTGTTTAAAATCTAAATCGTGAAATCATAATTGACCCTGTTTTCTTTCTGTTGAAGGATTCATCAATGCACTTCATTCGTTAAATGTTTTTTTGCCATTCTTCCTTCAGATAAAGATGAGTCTTTGGAGGTGTTTGTTGGTGACGTCACCAGCTATACCCTACATAACCTGCTTCCCGGCACAACGTATGATGTTCAGGTGTACGCCCAATACGATGGCGGTGTCAGCAAACCTCTCACGGGACAAGGAACAACTTGTATGCTTTCAGATGTTTCGATATATTTGTGCATCGTTGGTTTAATGCTACTCGGCAAGATTTGTAATTTGAGCGCAACATTTCTGTCTTGACCTTTCAGTGTACCTCAATGTGACCAACCTGGTGACATACGATGTTGGCTACGACAGGTTCTGCATCAGATGGACGCCTCACCGTGCCGCCACTTCATACAGAATCAAGCTGAACCCTCTGGACCGTGAGTCAAACTCAGGATGCTTTCATTTACTGTCTTTCATTATGTATGCACTACCAGTCAAGTATTTGGGGTCAGTCAGATGGTTTTAATTAATTTATTTATACATTTAGAAAGGAAAAGATGCATTAAATTGATTAAAAGTGACAGTTAAGACTTTATAATGTATCACAGTTTCCACAAAAATATTAAGCAGCACAAATGTATTCAAACAATTCAGCAATTCATCACAAAAATAAATAATATTTTAAAATACATTCAAATAGAAAAACATTATTATAAATTGTAATAATATTTCACAATATTATTGTTTTTACTGTATTTTTTGGTCAAATAAATGCTGAGCAGAAGAGACTTAAGAAATTACATTAAAAAAATCTCACAGACCCCAAACGTTTTAATGGTTGTATATAACACTGTTAACACAGTATCATTGAGATTCTATTATAGATTTTTATTAATATTTTGAATTTGTATATTTTCTGTTTTAATTTTAAATTCAATTACATTTTTGGTTAAAGCACACACTTTTGTTGTGTGTTTTTGTCATTTGTAGTAGTTTTCTTTTTTTATATATGTCTATAAATTTTTTATTTCATTTTTTGTTTAGTTTTACTTTAGTTCACATCAAGTTAAATTAAAATGAGAAATGTTTTTATTTAAAACATTTTATATTTTATTTCGGTTGTCATTTATTTTAAATAACGATTTGTTTTTTTGTTTGTTTTTTTAATAGTTAGGTTTCAGTTAACTATAATAACCCTGCTATGCAACTAGTTGTTTTTGGTTTCTGTTTTGGAAACTACAGCAAAGCACCCTGCTTTTAACTGTTTTAATCTGTCTAGATTATTTACTTGGACAAAGTATTTAAAGCCTCCTCTGTGTTCACTTACTAATAAAGGGATGCTTACTCTTATGGATTACAGCTCTAAACGAGCTCATGGGAGATACTTTAACCAAATTTAAAAATACCCAAAGTACCACTAATGCTGCCGAGAAAATACCATGTTTTTGGACTGTAATTGATTGGTTCTCTTTGAAACACCTTAGAATACTAAATACTGTAGTATGTTTTGATATGGTGATACTATTGTTTGATCTGTTTGCAGCGGCGGCTAAAGGTCAGCAGGAGATCACCATCTTTGCAGGCCATAGTCAGTACTGTTTCGAAGGTTTGAGTCCAGACTCCCTCTATAACGCCACTGTGTTTGTCCAGACGCCCAATCTAGAGGGGCCCGGAGTCAGTACCAGAGAACGCACCCGTGAGTTCAGGCTTTATCCTGAAATTAGCAGATATTCATCAGCCAGGAGAATTTTAACATTGATGCCTTCTGACTTCTTTTGGTTCCTCTAGGTGTTAAACCCACACCTGTGCCAACGAAACCACCCACTCCCCCTCCACCACCCACTATTCCACCCGGCTGGGCGGGTAAGGGCCTTCAGCCACTGCTTAAGAAACACATATTTCATTTATCATGTTGATTTTCAGTTTTTCTGGCAGAAGGTTTGCACTGGCAAGCAGCACTTACGTTTTCTTCAGAAAATGTAAAACTCGTAAAAATAAGAAAAAAAGATTTTAAATTTGATTTAATATTTACATATTTTATAAGTCTTTATTTAATTAATTAAAATAATTAGTTATTTATTTGTTTACATTTTTTATTATATTAGTTTTATTATTATAATCAGCATCAGTTTAGTTTAATACAACAAACATGCCCATGATGTATGCTTATAGTTTTGTAATGCTTGTCATTACAGAAAAAAAATCTTAATTGTCCTATAATAGGCTTAATTTTTTCTTGCAAAAACAAATAATATACATTAACATACATTAACATACATAATAAAATAACTATTATATTGTATGTTTTTTTATCATTTATATTATTTTAAAGTATATTCTTTCTATTTTTATTATTTGTTTTATCTTATCTTATATAATTTACTTTATTCTTTTTATTATAATTATATACATGTTTTTTATTGACATTACATTTTATTTACATTTTTTTAATTTACGTGTTGTTTACATTTCTTACTTTTATTTTAATAATATGACTTGAACATTCCTTGACAGATATATTTTTACATTTTCCTTGATGTTGAGTAGATTTTGGCCAAGCTTACTGTGAAGAATTATCAGTGACTAGAATATAGACAGAGATATATTTGTTAAACTTATGAGGAAAGAGTATTGTTAATGTTTCCTCTCCTTTAACATCGCAGGCGTGGCTCTGAAGCACGTGTACGAGAAGGTCTTCACTCTAGACAGTGGAATGAGGAGAAACGTACCAAAGGTTGTGGTGGCCGTAACAGATGGACGTTCTCAAGATGAAGTGAACAAGAATGCTGCCAAGCTACAGCAAGCTGGTATGACTCACTGCTGAACTTTAAAGGTTATGGCATAAACATGAGCTCATAACCCTATGACCACATCAACACCTATTCAGAATCCAAAAACTGATGAATGACAGTGTGAACTACACCAGTATGCAGAGCTTTGACAATCATTAAAGGCACACATAATGGTCACTTATTGTGCTAATGTGCTAATGTAGGATGTGCTGTTTCAGGTTACAGTGTGTTTGTGGTTGGCGTGGCTAATGTGGACTTCGTCGAACTGCAGAACATTGCCAGCAAACCGAGCGAACGCCATGTCTTTGTGGTGGACGACTTCGATGCCTTCTCCAGCATTCAGGACAACCTGGTCACGTTCATCTGTGAAACTGCAACATCCAGTGAGTTGATAGTTTGTGGTACTTTACATATGATACTTGTAAGAGAGATTTTACACCGGATCTGTTCAAACCTTTAATTTCATGTGTTTATGTTTTGCTTCCACAGGCTGCCCATTGATCTATGTAAATGGTTTCACATCACCAGGTAGGGATGTGTCTTATGCATTGCACAAAGTTTTAATGTTTAATATTTGTTCTTCTGCTCACCAAGGCTGCATGTATTTGATCGAAAATACAGTAAAAACAGTAATACTATTAAATATTATTGCAATTTAAAGGAACTGTTTTGTATTTGAATATATTTTAGGATGTAATTTATTCCTGTGATGCAAAGCTGAATTTTCAGCATCATTACTCCAGTCTTCAATGTCACATGATCCTTCAGAAATCATTCTAATATGCTGATTTGCTGCTTAAGAAACATTATTAATGCTGAAAACAGTTGTACTGCTTAATATTTTTGTGAAATCCGGGATACATTTTTTTTCCCGGATTGTTAGATGAATTGGACGTTCAATAGAACAGCAAAATAGAAATCTGTTATGACATTATAAATGTCTTTACTGTCACTTTTGATCAACTGAATGCATCCTTACAGTTGAATGCAAAATCTTACTGACCCCAGACTTTCGAATGGTAGTGTAATGCATGTGATTATGTATAGTGATCACACTAACATGATTGATACGTTTTCCCAGGATTCAGAATGCTGGAAGCTTTCAATCTGACTGAGAAGATGTACGCTAGTACCAAGGGTGTCTCTATGGAACCCGGTTCCTTTAACAGCTACACCGCCTACAGGCTCCACAAGAACGCTTTCCTCAACCAGCCCTCATCGTGAGTTCAGACCTCTCTTGATTAGACTCTGAATGCTGATTTTGTGTACAATTTATTACTCATCAAGTCATCAAGCAAGACTTTGAAGGAAGAGTGCACTTTCTTTGAGACTATTACTTCTGTGGAACACAAAACGAGATGATTAGCTTTTTCCGTACAGTGAAAGTAATCAGTAACCAGGCACTGTTACACACGATCCGTTGTGAGATATGCAAGAACTAACAGATTTTGATTTGTTGACATTAAACCTAATGTTACATGTCTTGACATGATATATTTGAAATTTAAAGGATGAGACCAGTTGAATACCTTTAGAAGATATGGAATATAGTGTATGGGTCATATGGACCACTTTTCAAGTATTTTTACAGTAATTTTTGCAGCTTGCTACTGTTCAAAAGTTTGGGGTCTTTAACATGTAAAACAAAAATAATAATACATTTATTCAGCAAGGATGCATTAAACTGGTCAAAAGAGACATTTTTTAATGCTTCAAAAGATTTATATTTCAAATAAATGCTGTTCTTTTGAGCTTTCTATTCATCAAATAATCCTGAAAATAAGTGTACCACTGTATCCCAGCAGCACAACTGTTTTCAACATTGATAATAATCAGAAATGTTTCCTGAGCAGCAAATCAGCATATTAGAATGATTTCTGAAGGATCATGTGACACTGAAGACTGAAAATTCAGCTTGCATAACAGGAATAAATGACATTTTAAAATATATTCAAAGAGAAAAGTTATTTTAAATGTTAGTAATATTTCACAGCATTACTGTTTTTACAGTATTTTTAATCAAATAAATGCGGTCTTACCGATCACAAACCTTTGAACAGTAGATTATTACAAAGCTGTTTATCACCCCATTTCTTCAAATAACTGCAGTTACGTTACATGGTATGTATGTAATACTGTGGTTTGTTATTGTGGAAAAATGTTCTGTTAGATTACGATAATGATGGTCATTTTTAATCAGTTCGTTAAGATGACAGTCTGGCAGCATGCTTGTGTACAGACATCACTGTGAAAGTAGTGTGGTATTAGAGAGTCATTGGAGGACTGTAGGGTTAAACTGAGAGCTTTGTTGGCTTTTGTTGCATGCTGCTGCTTGCCCACTATCCAAAAGCATTCAAAGCCATGGTTCTCCCACACACTTCCTTAATTATTTTACCATATGAAAGTACTGATAAAATACTGGATCAAATAAATGCATTCACTTTGACCTGCCAGCGCTGATGTCTGCAGAAAAAAGCAGATCCTCCTCTTTGCGCTGGCTGATTTTGTCAACTTTTTTTTTTACAGATATATTCATCCTGATGGCCTGCCTTCCACATACACCATCATTCTGATGTTCCGGCTGTTGCCGGACTCACCGACCGAGGCCTTCGATATTTGGCAGGTGTCAGACAAGAATTACAAACCTGAGACCGGTTTCACCATCGACCGTAAGTTGGCTATATATAAATATAATAAAGTCTTCTGTTTTCTCAATAATCACACTTCTCATCAGATTCTCATAAAGCCAAATTATCTGAGTTTATTCAGGATTAGGATTTTGATGTGCTGGCTTGGTCGGACGAATAATTTAGATTTGCTTTTGCTTTGTCAACATTTGAACTGGCCTCGTCACAAAAAAAATAATAAAATCAGTTTTTAGGTTTTTCATCATCAAAAATAACTCCTACAACAACTCACACACACTTTTGCTGGAATAAAACAGATCAGTGATTTGTTTATTAACTTCAATCAGTTCCAGTGGATGCTTCCAAGGCCATCATAAATCTTTTGCCATTAAAACACTTCGTGTCAGCCAGCTAGATAACTATATCTTGGTTGCGAGTTTAAATCAGAAGACTTCATAACAACGGTGATTGCCTCACAGGAAACCACATGTTGAAGTTTGCAAAGCTTACTCCCTATCCTTATTGTTGAGTCCTGTACACTGTCCACATTCATTTCTCTAGACTTGTACTTTGTCAAGATAACTATATCTTGGTTGCGAGTTTAAATCAGAAGACTTCATAACAACGGTGATTGCCTCACAGGAAACCACATGTTGAAGTTTGCAAAGCTTACTCCCTATCCTTATTGTTGAGTCCTGTACACTGTCCACATTCATTTCTCTAGACTTGACTTTGTCAACACATTGTGTCTCCTTTAAGTTCTCCTAATGAATTTAAGGAGAAACATCTGAGACAAAGTTGATACTTATATAACATATCTGAGATCTCCATTGAGAAAGTAATACAGTTCTCCTCTAGACTTCTTTCTCTCTGTCCCAGTAATCATTTTTGCCCCATCCACCACATCCCCTTTAGTCCAACAACTTGTCCTATCATATCTTTCTATTTACTGTAGAGAATTTTGTTTGTTCTCGTTTGTGGTTGTTTTTGGGAAATTTAACTCTTTGTTTCTCTATTTTCTCAGCATCCACCCAAACGGTGTCGTTTTATAATAAGGATACAACAGGAGAGATCCAACGAGCCACGTTTAAAAATGATCAAGTCAGGAGGATCTTCCATGGAAGCTTCCATAAGGTAAACTGTGCTTTTATACATGCTGTTTATGTGGTATTTTATGTTGCATAGTACATCAAACTTTACAGTTGTCTACAGATGATAATCTAGTATGGTTTGTCCTGCAGAAGGTCCTTGTACAATGATTTGTGACGCTCTTTCATAACAGGTTTATATCACGGCCTTTAGCACAAATGTGCTGGTTGTGATGAAAATGGTGAAGGCTTGGCTGATTTATATAAGTTGGGTTATGCACAAATAATGTTGCATGGCCTTCTTTTCAAAATTGGAAAGGTGGCAATTAGCAAATTGGTGGAGACGCGTGCCCGCATTCTCCACCATAAATGGCGCCTATGTCGGCCACATACACAGAGCCAAACTGTGTGAGGTCTCCAGCAAAGTGGGCTCAAAACAAATGTCCATTATGTCTGAATGCAGCAAAACATGCACAGATGTCCACGGATATAGATCAAGGGAGCCGTTTCTTTCAAGAAGACAATGGTCTGCAACTGCAGAATAGAAATATAGGACAAAGAGAGGTCACTGTCAGCAAGCTCACCCACTGAGAGGGTTTGAATCTGAAACGAGCATGTTTTGATTTGTGCATGAGGCCAAAAGGAAGAAATGGTCTTTGCTTATTTTAAAATTGAGCTTTGATGTGGCGAGCTGCAAAACTCATAACAGAGGTGTAGAAATACAAGACACGTTCGGTGTGTTGCAACATCATGTTGTGGTGCCTTCAGTTGTGCCATTTCTATTATTGATGCACAGCTACTTCAGCCACTTGTTTCAAGTTCTGTTTGAACATCAAAGTTCTGTGCATTGTTTTTTAAATTCGATCACTGAATGTGTTCCGCATCACACAGCTAATTTGCATATAGTTTGAACTTGGTTACATCACTGCACTGCTTCTTCAGTCACTTGATTTTAAAAATTTAATTATTTTCATTTGCAAATTAACTGCTATGATTATTATTTGTAATATATTTAAAATATCAAAGTTCCATACATAATTTTTATAATTCTTTCAATTCGTTTATTGTTTACATTGTTCGCATCACATTACAGCGCATTTACACATAGTTTGAACTTGATTACATTGCATTGCCAGCACTAACCTGTGCATGCCATTTATCACATTAACTGTGATGTAGTTGATTAATTAAGATGCAAGCGTGTCTCAGAAGACCAGAAATCACCTTCACGAGAATCTATAAGCATATTTGGTAAGGCCAGGAAAAAAAGTGTTTCCCTGGCAGGCAAACTGGAAAATATTGAATCACTTCTCAATAAACATTTACATCAGAGCACTAGCAGATGCCAAACGCGGAGCAGGTGAAATGCTTTGAGCTGATTTATTCGTTCATCCTTATCTTTAGTCAGTGTCTCTGTCTGGCCTGGATCCTGATGGTCCTTCAGGTTGCCTGTCAAAGTTGACCACAGGGTAAATTCTTGTGGTTTGAATGAGAAGTGTGCTGGCTTGTTTGTTGTGGTTTTGGCCTGTGTGAACATCCCTGCTGCTTTCCATAAGTCTATAGCCTCAGGTGACACATCGCCAGTCACTTAAAAGTAAGACTGGATGGTATGACAAGATTCTGCATTGCACCATGGTAGATACCCTATGATTGAGCAGGACTGTTTTGCAATATTTGCATGTGAGAGTGACAAAGAGTAATGTGAAAATACAGAGCAGGACTTGTCCGAAACAACTCAAGACAAAGAATTTATTAGGTGTTTAGTAGCAAAGCAGAGTTTATGCTAGTATGCCAAGAAATATCAAAACTTGGTGCATTAGTATAGAAATCAGTTGAGGTCTGTTTATATCAGCTGTTTTTATAATATTTAGTTTTACCGTTGTAAGTCTTTGGTTTTTAACTCAAATGTTATATAAAGTGAATTTGTTTTTGCTCTGATGCCAGACTTATCATTCATTTGTTATGAATAGATTTTTTGGTTCAAATTCAAACTTGAAGGATTTTTTTCATTTGTAAAGTATTTAATTTACAAGATTGGCCAAAGCAGGCATTACTGCATGATTATTTAGAATATAAACTATTTTTTTTCCATTGAGTTTCTTTGCAAGAGAGCATAGAGGGTGCAAAATCTGCCCTGCTGCATCATATGACAGTTTCTAATGAAAGCAAATAGAGTGGCATAAGCATTCGTCTCTGAGCTTGATGAATTGTTCATGCTTCAGATCTTTCCTGCTTGGAAGGAAATAATGTCTGAATTTCAGAAATGAAGTGTGTTTTTTAAGAGCTGCATGGTTCTGGCATGTCATTTACTCATGCAGATGGCTTTTTGGTCTAGATAAACAAACATGATTTAGATTGTCTAGCTTCAGCAAAGGATTGTGACTTTTTTTTTTTTTGCTGGCTCTGTATGTGGTGCAAGTAATGGGATTTTTAACGGCAAGACTGTTACTCACAAATGAATATTTCACCCAAAAATGAAATTCTGTCATCATTTTCTCAAACCTGTGTGACTTTCGTTCTTCCGTGGTCTTTTTTGGACCACTGGACAACATCATCATTTAAATGTCCTTGTTTTTTTTTCACAGAAGAAAGTCATTTGGAGATTTATAACAGCATGAGGGTGAGTCAACGATGACAGAATGTTCATTTCTAAAAATCTTTTAACACCAAGCTCTAAATGATCACGAGCGTGTAGAAAGCTCTCAAGCAGCCTAGAGAAAGCGAGTGTGGCCAGCAGAGACGTATCATTCTTCAGATATCCTCAGTGGATTTGGCTAAAATGGAGGACAGCTCTGTTTTGAAAGTTCTGTCCAAACGTGTGGCAGATTCAGTTGAAATGGAGAAGTCGTCTGTTTAAAAGATCCTGCTTCCCTCTGAACGGCCACAGGTGGCCATTAAAGAGGACGTTTGAGGACAGCTGCCAGTGATCAGATCAAAATGAATAAAATCAAATGACCGTAATCAGTTACAACAAAACTTTAAATAGAAAAGCAGTGCGTCAGATTATAAACAGCAGGGACTGTGCAAAATATTGAGTACAGAAAGCCACACTAATAACTTTTCTTGTTGTTTGGCAGTATGTATATTGTGCACAGTATGTGAAAATATGTGGAATATCCATATGTGGAAAATATGCATATGTGGAATATCCAGATTATATATAGTATGGTACAGTGTTTTTCAAAACTGGGGTCTGGGAACCTTCACAGGGCCACAAAAGGACTATGAAATCTGATTTTACAAAGTATTAGTGGAAAAGTTTTACTATTTCATTCTGCTTTCTAAAGACTGTTCAGAAATTGTGAGATTAATCACTTTATTCTTTATTCTATAGATAGCACTAGTGTTTAACAATAAGAAAAAAAATCTACATATCGGTTTGGAGAAAACATTAAAAATAAATATTTTTAGATAATACGTTTGTTTACAATAATATTTTTAAAATTTTAGATTTCAGAAAGTTTAATTCATTTTACAAACAATTATTGTGAGATTAATTCTGATTACTTTATTCTATTAAGAGCATTTGTTTTCGACAATAAGTGAAAAATCAGCATAAAGCCCCATTCACACCAAGAACGATAACTATAAAGATAAAGATATTAGAGTCCACACCAGCGAACGATATTGTCTGTTTATTCTAAGCGCACGTTCGTCCGCCACTTTAAATTCTCGAGCTCGTTACAGCAGGATGGATTCTCATTGGGTGTCAATGTTTGCATCGTTCATCAGCTGGAGAAAATCGTTCTGAAAGTGATTCCAACGATATCGTTTCTCTGTGCCTTTATCGTTATAGATGAGGTGTAGACTCTGCTATCCTTTAATACTGAGAACGATTTTTAGAACTATATCTTTATCGTTATCTTTATAGCTATCATCCTTGGTGTGAACGGGCCTTAACATTTTGTGAAAAAAATAATACTTTTATTTACTTTTAATAATACTTTTAATTGTTGAAAAAAATAATTATAAACATATAATAAAAAAAAATCATAATTTTGTTGTCTCTAATATCACACAGTTGTTTTTAACGTATTTTTCTTAATATGTAGATACTTTTTATATTTTAAAAAAGAGAGTCCTTCATCATATTAGGTGATCCTTGACATCAAAAACTTTGAAAACCCTAGTATGAAATGTTAATCACTGCATAATGTGTTCTGTTTCCTTTATCAACTTTTTTTTTTTGTAAAGTAGTTTTATTTCTGTGCATTATGCAGTAAGCTGTATTATTCCATATGGAATATAATAATTGAGAACAGAAGAACCCGGGGACCTCCAGGCTAAACAGAAAACAATCATGTGCCACAGGAACAGCTTTAGATAATACATACCACATTTGTGTAGACGTCTAGTGATGTCAGGTTTGGTTTGATATTGACAAGGTTTGATAGGCAGTTTGTGACGAGACTCGAAAGAAAACTGGTTTAAGCGCTTACAGAAAGATGGTGGTCTGGCTCCGTAACAATCACTTCATCGTTCTAATGAATATCATGTCTTTTTCGCTTTGTTTAGCCCAATAGTGAGGTAAACTTCAGTGTATCTCAGGCCTGCAGCATGTTTACTGATACTGACCAATCCTCTGCGGTCAGATCAGAATCGCATCCCCTCTATTTGCTGACCGCAAATTTCCAATCCATTCCTGATCCATAGCATCAGTCCTGCTTTGAGCTCCTCCATTAGCTTGCGGAGGAGAAATGTGATTACATCGCAGCGTTTAGCTGGTGTTTAAGACTTGGCAGCCCGACGGTCCATGGCATATGGAGAAACAACTTCATCATGCACTGTAGTGAACAGGGAATATCAGTGTACATTGATTTGGCGGATCAGAGAGCTGAAACAACTCTGAGGGGGCAATTCAGTAAGAAATACAGCGCCAACCTGCAATTACAGGACCAAACACATGACATCCAGCCTGAGCAACACAATTAACATGACTGACGAATCAGATGATCCTAGGCCAAGTAGTTCAAAGTTCATGAGGACTTTAAACCATTTTGTACAACCTCGTTTGGTACCTTGTTTGGTTCCTCAGAATTGAGGAAGATTAAGAAGAGTAAAAGTACACTCAGAAGTTTGGAAAGAAGTCTCTTCTGCTCAGCAAGGCTGCATTTAATTGATCAAAAATGCATTAAAAACAGTACTATTGTGAAATATTATTTCAACTTAAAAGAACTGTTTGCTATTTGAATATATTTAAAAATTTAATTTATTTTTGTGATGCAAAGCTGAATTTTCAGCATCATTACTTCAGTCTTCAGTGTCACATGATCCTCCAGAAATCATTCTAATATGCTGATTTACTGCTCAAGAAACATTTATTATTATTATTATCAAAGTTGAAAACAGTTTTTGTGGAAACCATGATTATTTTTTAAGGACTCTTTGAATAGAAAGTTCAAATGAACAGCATTTATTTGAAATAAAAATCCTTTGTAAGTTTGTAGTGTATGTTTTGAGAAAATTATGCTATTTTGAGCCTCATTTGCATATATTGGAGGCATTTTTGCTCTGAAAAGTATGTAAATTACTTAAAAACACATCCACGCTGAAGAGGTTGAACTATTTAGTGAATTTAATTATAAAAAATAAAAAAAACTTGCTATGTGCACTGTGCTAGACTAACTGAGACTTGTCACAGCACTTGTATATTGTTGCTCTCTTGTTGGTCTGATTGCTTCTACTAAAAGCGTCTGCTAAATGACTAAATGTAAATGTAATTTGCCCTCGATCTGTAGAGGAAGTGGCCGATTCAGCTCAGATGCAAACTTGGCTGGATGGTTTGACAGTTCCACTGTCATATGCGTTGATGTATTTGTTTACACTCTTGTTAGCTGCTGTTAATTTTTCCCAAATTCTCTATAAAAATATTTTACAATGGACTCGCTGTTATCATCGCCTTGAGCGTATCAGGATGAATTTGGTGTTGAAGGAACTTGCTGGTTTTTATATGCGCCTCTGGCCAGAACACTCCCTTTGAACAGAGAGACTGCCAGAAATCCCTAATTAAGGCCTGAAGCTCTTAGAGTTTAAAACAACAATAGAAAACTGCCAACTGAGACTTATTTAATGACTTTGCTGAAGATGAACGCAAGTTCTTCCTTTAAAATGATCCATGAGTCTGTTATAAGCTTGAACATCTAACAGTCTTCTTTTATTCCAGCTCCACATCCTGGTATCTCCCAAGAGCGTCAAACTGAACATGGACTGCCAGGAAGTGGCTGAGAAGGAGATTAAACCAGCTGGAAACACGTCGATGGATGGATTTCAAGTTCTCGGAAAGATGTCCAAATCTATCGGATCTAAAGGAGAATCGGCAACAGTGAGCTCAAACGCGAAAACACTGAACACTTTACGCTCGTAGAACTAAAGGTTCCAAAAGTGGGTTTTCACAGCGAAAGCCATAGAAGAACCATTTTTGATTCTCTAAAGAACCTTTCGGTGAACAGTTCTTAAAAAAAAATTTTCTTTGTTATCAAACTTTTGTTATCACACATTGTGTGCTCACCGCTCTCGCTCTTTCCACCCTGGATCCTTTTAATGGGTAAGAAAAAATGGTTCACTCTTAGAACTAAAGGTTCCAAAAGTGGGTTTTCACAGCGAAAGCGATAGAAGAACCATTTTTGATTCTCTCAAGAACCTTTCGGTGAACAGTTCTTAAAAAAAAAAATTCTTTGTTTGAAAAACATTTTGATAATCTAAATGAATCTTTTCTTTTTTGCAATGGAAAGATTCAATGGATGTTAACGGTTCTTCATGGAACCATCACTGCCAATAAGGAGCCTTTATTTTTAAGAGTACCTTGGTACAAAAACAAACTTTTGTTATCACACATTGACCGTGAGCTCACCGCTCTCGCTCTTTCCACCCTGGATCCTTTTAATGGGCATCTGAGCCTCATATTTGAAAATGCAAGCTTTTATCAAAGACACGTGTAACATCCGTTTTCTCTCTGGTTTCGGCAGTTTCAGCTCCAGATGTTTGACATTGTGTGCAGTCTTGGCTGGACCAGCAGGGACAGATGTTGTGACCTTCCTTCAATGGTAAGAGAAGACTTTAAGAAAGCCTCTAGAGATCAGTTGCCGGTCGCACCAGCTGTTTGTAAGCTACAACTTAGCCTAGTTTTGACATAAATGCACAAGTTGCAACTTGCGCGCTACTAAATATTTTAGCATTGCACCAATACACTTTTGAAGTTGAAACATAACTCTATGTACAGTATAAACTAAATATTTACAAAAGTCTCCGACCAGGAGTAATGATTGGAATAAAATAGCAGTTTGACTGAATTGCATCAATAGGCTCTTGTTTTACATGCCAGACTTCAGTCCTTTTGACATATATGATAATGCTGACATTTACACTCATTTACATTTTAAAAGACAAAAACAGCTTTTCAACACAAACCTGATCTAAACAGTGTGCCTCTATGTGCAATGATCAGTGTTGTGCATGTCAAATAAAATCAGAATAAATAATTGTCATTTCTTATGCTATGAATCAATATTTATTTTTCAATCCTTATTAGTTTCAGATACAATTTCTGACTGTTATTTGAACATAAATTATGTTCTTTATTCTGTGTGTGCATTTCAATGGAAGAAATCGATTCGATTGAATCACTAAGAGTAAATGTCATATTACACGACTTCACATTATATTACGGTGAGCTTTCGACCTACTAGCTACGTTCAGCATTATGACGTCAAATGGTGCAACCTAGCTAGTAAAATTGGTTTGGAAACTAATTCTACACAGAAATGGCTAGTAAATTTCATGAATAATTAATTATAATTTTGAAGTAGAACGAATGAAATCAGATTATGTTTACATCCGACCCCGTGCCTTTGATCATTGTGGCTTTTAGCAAGGCTCTTAACCCCAGACTGCTCCAGAGGGGTTGCTGTACAGTCACTTTGGATTGAAAACAAATGACAAGTCAATCGACTCTCACGCACACCTCCTACATCTTTTTGAGCTTCATCCACCCACGTGGATCTGTCATACTATTCCATATGTCCCCGTTGACCACATTCAAACATGACATTTAATATGTGCTTGGCCAAACCGCTCGCTATTGTTAGAGCATTTCCTTTCTTTGATCTCTCGTTGTGCGCTCTTCCATTTGATTTGGTTTGTCAGCAGCACACAGCTTTTAAAAGAGATGTTTGACTGTCATTCATTTGAGGTTCTTAGTTGAGAAGTGTGAAATTGTTGAACTCAAGTGCCTTCACACAATCACTATGTGTGCCTATTAATGCAAACCATGAGAGCAGCTGTGTCCAAACTCTTCCATAAGCAAAATATTATTCTGCTTATGGTACTTCTGACAGTCAAAACACAAGAGGTTTTAATCAGCCGTGTTGTAGCTATGTGGCCTGTCCTCACACCCAAAGCCAAAGGATACAGAAACAAAGACAAAGATTTATGTGGAAGAAATGACAGTTTTCCAAAACTTTGCCATAGTTGACATCACATCCAAGATCTGCACTGGCGGTGTCATCAGTTTTATTTTTTATCCAAGGTGATATGCAGTACACTTATTATAGTTATTGTTACGGCTGTTAAGTCTCGCTTAAAGCTACAGTGACATTTGACCTTATGACAGATAAATGACTATTAGCACAAATCTCTTTTTTTGCTGAATTCCCAAAATTATGGCAAAAAGGTGTTGTTATAGTACATGTAATTTGGAAACTACAGTAGGTATCCAGAGAGGCTAGTAGTGAGTTTCATTTGTTTAACCAAAACCAGCCAGTAATCTCGAAAAATGCAAGCATTGGATCACTTGCAAATTTTGAATGATCGGCCAGAAGCAAGACACCTCTGTATTTGCACAAAAGAAAAGACAGGAAGAATACAGTGTGGTGCATGTTTTTTTCCCACCATGATTTGTTTCCTCAAATAATAAATGCAATGGCTACATACATACAACCAAAGCTAATTAAAAAAACAAACAAACACCTTATTTACCTTTTTGCACACATTTTATCTTTGGGTTAATGATGTTGACTTCTTGATTTCTTCTTTCTCATCTTCTGCCATTATATTTAGCGTTTCAACATAACCTGAAAAGCTTCATTTTTGCATGATGATAAACTGCATTTTAATTTAACCAATTTATTCAGAAATCATCAGGTACATAAGCGCACAAGCAACATATTTTTATTAGATGGGCTCAGATAGAGTAATGTCTGTAGTAAGCTTGAACCTACAACCTTTTAGTTATCAGCTCGGTCAAGTCAATAACCAGTTTTTCATTTACTGTACTTATACAGTGCCTTTCAGAACGTCTAAATAACTAAGTGTCCATGAGCTAAACATTCACACAATCCACGTATATCAGGAAATAGTTTTTAGATGGTTGATGGTCACTGATGTTGTTGCTTATTCTGCCATTTGTTCTTATATTTTTCGTTTTCTCTGTCATTCAGAGAGATGAATCCAAATGTCCATCTCTTCCCAATGCCTGCACATGCACCTCAGACAGTAAGGGGCCCCAGGGGCCTCAAGGGCCAGTGGTAAGTCAACTGAAGTGTGCTAATAAAGATTGACAGCAAAAGGTTTCAAATTTATAGGAACAGATTTTTTTTATTTAGTTCAAAATATTATTAATATAGTTTGGTTTGAAGTGTTTCATCCTGCGAAAAGGCAAGACACTACAGGTGAACAGGATAAAGATTTTAGCTAATAGATGTCACATACTTGTCCAGTTGATTAGTCACAGTAAATTAAGACAATAGTTATGGGCCCTCCAGGACCACAGGGCCCTAGTGGGCTCTCCATCCCTGGCGAGGCTGTAAGTCCATCTCAATTTTCATCATGTATCCATTGTCTCCTCACACATTCAGAAGTCAGTAGCCGGCTGTAAATCCTTCCGCACACCAAACAGGGATTATTCAGGTTGTTTATTATCCCAGGAGTTGTAGCGGAGGCATAATTATGGCAGCGAGCTCTGGATTCAGCATTCCTGCATGTCTGGGGGCTTTACACTCATCAGAGTACTTTAAACCGCCTGATCCTGCTGCTAGCACACAAATCTCACTGGATTTATTCCCCTCTCCATTTCAGCTGCTGTGTTTTAGTGCTGTTTGCAAGCATCACTATTACTATCGCTCATACATGGGGTTAAGGGTTTGAAACAAGCCAATAGGTCTAAGTATTAAACATCAGTGTGTAACTCGCTCTGATTCCTCAAATCATGTGGCTTAAGGAGAGGACTGCATGATACATACATACATACATACTGTACATATATACTGTATAAAATTGATAATGCAATATTGCAATTCTCAAATTGCAGAGGCTGCAGATGAATTGAACTGCAAAAATAAAATCTTGATAGTTTAACATTTGAAAAGGAAGAAATTAAAACGTAAGATATTATACGTTAATTACTTCAGTATATTTTTATTGAATACTACTGTAAATTAAATATTTTAGGTACAGTAATATTATTGCTAGTTTATTTCAATTTAATAATATTTACTATCAAATCATTATTTTATAGTCATTGAGTGGATCACAAACGATTGGAAATGAAAGGATAGTTTGCACTTCAGTGCAAAAAGTCATTTTTCAGCTTTTGTATTATTTTTATTTTCTATTACAACAAAATCACTATTATCGCTATCACAATATCACAGAAAAATGAAATATCGCAATGTCAGTTTTTTTCCAGTATTGCGCAGCCCCAGTGCTGATGTTTTACTAAGTGATCAGACTTAAGGTACAGTCAAATTTATCTGTGTACGGCAGGCGAAATGCAGTCAACTCACTAGGAATCCACATGATTGTGGTTTTAACATGTGACATCCCACCATGTGGATTTCAAGTTTGTTAAACTTTTACAACTTGAATTTGCCATGTTACAATAGTTATATCACTCTGTCTCCTCTCCACCAATAAGCTGGTGTGTGGTGGGCATTCTGGCGCACTATGGCTGCCGTCGCATCATCCAGGTGGATGCTGCACACTGGTGGTGGATGAGGAGATACCCCCTGACAATCTAAAGCGCTTTGAGTGCATAGAAAAGCGCTATATAAATGTAATGAATTATTATTATTATTATTATATATTACAAGTTTTCTGAAATGTTATGTTTAAATATGCAAATGAGAGATTGTCTATTTAAAATGCACAGATTAACATACATTTCCAGAACATAAATAATCTGAACATTGGATAAATCCAGGTTCAAAATTATTGTTTCATTTGTTGACATAGTATAGTAAAATGTTATTACAGAGAGGATTTTCGATATCTATTTTATTGCTCATTAATAAACAAAAATACTATTCCTGCCAGACAAAAAGTTTTTAGGAATAAAATGCTAAATATATATCAAGCAAATGATATACGAACAAACTCTTCTGTAAAAACCTCCAGAATTTAGTCAGGAATAAAACTGTAGCGTTGAATGTATGTAAGTGCTGAGGAAGTGGAGATTTCTGATTCATTTTAAGAAAACAGCTTTTAAAAATACATATTGTACTTGAAATCTACAGATGCTAATAGATAAACTGTGTTTTCTTTCCCTTAGTGTGAAAGAAGTCAAGTTATGGAAGCAAAGTAGCCTAAAATCTTGACCAGTGCAATAGTTTTATCTGTAGTGTCTTGCCTTAAAAGGTTCATTCAGATGTAGTCAAAATTTTAATTCATATAACGTTATGTTCTTATTGATTGGACTGATATCAGGACTGTTTTCTCTGTAATTTCTCCACACATTTTCTTCCTTTCCCAGGGTGCACCTGGAAGTAAAGGACCACGAGGGGAAAGAGGAGAACCCGGTCAAGTCGTGAGTAATCTGCTTATCCTTCTCTGTTAATTCAGAATGGTCTTAACCTGTACATTACAGATAATTCATCAAGTTTATCTACAGGATTGAACGTTGTCGTCTTCATACATTGACTCTGTTTTTTCCTGCAGGGTCCGATGGGCTCACGTGGAGAGATGGGTTTGCCCGGTCCGATGGGCCCTCCAGGACCACAGGGCCCTAGTGGGCTCTCCATCCCTGGCGAGGCTGTAAGTCCATCTCAATTTTCATCATGTATCCATTGTCTCCTCACACATTCAGAAGTCAGTAGCCGGCTGTAAATCCTTCCGCACACCAAACAGGGATTATTCAGGTTGTTTATTATCCCAGGAGTTGTAGCGGAGGCATAATTATGGCAGCGAGCTCTGGATTCAGCATTCCTGCATGTCTGGGGGCTTTACACTCATCAGAGTACTTTAAACCGCCTGATCCTGCTGCTAGCACACAAATCTCACTGGATTTATTCCCCTCTCCATTTCAGCTGCTGTGTTTTAGTGCTGTTTGCAAGCATCACTATTACTATCGCTCATACATGGGGTTAAGGGTTTGAAACAAGCCAATAGGTCTAAGTATTAAACATCAGTGTGTAACTCGCTCTGATTCCTCAAATCATGTGGCTTAAGGAGAGGACTGCATGATACATACATACATACATACTGTACATATATACTGTATAAAATTGATAATGCAATATTGCAATTCTCAAATTGCAGAGGCTGCAGATGAATTGAACTGCAAAAATAAAATCTTGATAGTTTAACATTTGAAAAGGAAGAAATTAAAACGTAAGATATTATACGTTAATTACTTCAGTATATTTTTATTGAATACTACTGTAAATTAAATATTTTAGGTACAGTAATATTATTGCTAGTTTATTTCAATTTAATAATATTTACTATCAAATCATTATTTTATAGTCATTGAGTGGATCACAAACGATTGGAAATGAAAGGATAGTTTGCACTTCAGTGCAAAAAGTCATTTTTCAGCTTTTGTATTATTTTTATTTTCTATTACAACAAAATCACTATTATCGCTATCACAATATCACAGAAAAATGAAATATCGCAATGTCAGTTTTTTTCCAGTATTGCTCAGCCCCAGTGCTGATGTTTTACTAAGTGATCAGACTTAAGGTACAGTCAAATTTATCTGTGTACGGCAGGCGAAATGCAGTCAACTCACTAGGAATCCACATGATTGTGGTTTTAACATGTGACATCTCACCATGTGGATTTCAAGTTTGTTAAACTTTTACAACTTGAATTTGCCATGTTTAACAATTTAAAGCTGCTTCATTTGAAAGGGACCTCTGAAAAAGAAGTGCTTCATGCAATGACAGTTTTGCTAATGTGACTGCAGTGCAAATCCCACAGACTAAAGCAGAGATTAAAGGCCCGTCCACACCAAGAACAATCATTTTGACAAAAACTATAACAATATAAGCTATATTAGCATCTATACCAACAAACGATAACATTCTGTTTATTATAAGCACATGCTGCAGTTTTGTTGTCTGCGATTATAAATACTTGTGTGTTAAGTGAATTCTGATTGGCTGCTTATCTGGAAAAAGCATTCTAAAAGTAATTCTAATGATATCGTTCCTATGTGTCGTTATCATTATAGTTGTGGACTTTTCTATAGACCTTAATCAGGTTAGACGCCATATTGAATGTAACACAGGTGAAAATGAGGGTGTGAGGAATAGACCTACAGTCTTCACGATAGCACACACTGTGTAAACATCCTAGATCACGTAATTTCTACAACTCACAACTGTTTAATGGAGTTTTTGTCTACTGAAAGTTTTTTCTGACTGACGTTTCGTCAGCTGAACAATCGATACGGTGTTAAACAACAGTACAATCCATTGAACGCGTTGTACTTCAATCCCTCGCAGCCTTGTTTTCATTTCTGTCAAAAATTAAATATGGCATCACCCTGACCAAGGTCTGTTCTCATAGAATTGGAATGCTTTTTAAAACTTTTTTAAAACTCTGGGATTTTTAAAAATTTAGAATTTTTTTTTATCGTTATTGTTATTGTCCTTGATGTAAACACGCCTTAAAGCCATACCTAAAGTCTTGGATTTAACAATCACCCAGAAAACCCTAGCAACCATATAGCAACACCATAAAACCACACACAAAACTGCAGTATGATGGAAGTGACTTTTCCACAGCCAAACTCTAGATTTCTCGTTTTCCCTCTTGTCTATGTTCTCTGAACTGATATATGTGTTTAATTTTTCTTTGGATCACGCCGAAACGCTTTACCAAAGCTTTGGACGCTCTTTTGACAGGTCTGTCTCCTTTTATTTTCTCCACACAGGGTCGTCCAGGTCCAAAGGGGGATCCAGGCGATGCTGGCTTACCTGGACAGAAAGTAAGTGTTGCTCTGGAGAGCCGCCCGAGTCTTAGGGGGGAAATGGGAGGATTATTCGCTCTCTGCAGCCTGCGCTACCTCTCTGGATGAGCTCCATGTGGCAAACGTTAGATCATAACTCAGGAGGGGGGATGGCTGGGAGGCAGTGCTGAACAATAGTTGTAGATCACGCCACGAGATAAAATGTGGGTTGAGGCTGTAATTACGCAGAGTCCTAATCGGTGCCACTTTGTGGTTCCCCATTAAACTCTCCCGTTCTTTTTGTTGGACTGTTTAGAGCATGTGTGGAGCTAGTGAAGAGGATCTTGAGATTGATTTGAAGACAAACAGCAGAAGATTGTCTAATTGGTTTGGGTTGCACTATATATTGTAAATGAACTTTATGGCATCATTTACTCACTCTCATGTTCTTCCAAAACTGTGTTTCTTTCATGCAACGCAACAGGAGATGTTTTGCAGAATCTTTCATGCTTTGATTTAAAAGAAAAAGACACCATAAAAAGTATCATAAAAGTCCATACGACTTGTGTGCTGTATTCAAATCTGAAGCCAAAGATAACGTATTATATAACCGAATAAATTACTATTCAAATAGAAGTGATAGCTGCAAAGCAAGTGATTTAATGATATAATTAAATAATGTTTTGTATGAAGTCTATTTTTAGGACCATTAAGATTTTTAATGCAATGTGAATACAAAATATATAATTATATAATTTATATAAAATAATATATTAAATAAAATAAATGTAAAAAATAAAATATATAAATAAAATGTAAATTTATTTTTACATTTAATACATTTGTAAAGTATAATTGTGTGCATAAATCTTGTATAGCTGTACTATCTTTAGTTACGCTGATTTTAATAATTTTATTAGAATTTTATATATATTTATAATGTTATATAATAATAATAATACATTCTGGCATCTTTACATGTCTTTCTGAAACTGTATGAGAATTGAATTTTTTGGATTTAAAAAAGACACCATAAAAGTCTACACGATTTGTGCTTTGTATTCAGGAGCCGAACAGAAGCCGAATGATAACTTTGTGACTGAATAAATCCCTATTAACATGAGACTTGACAGCTACAGAGGGAGGGTAATATTTTTGGCAAATAAAAACTTCAATTTGAGTCTGTTCTCAAAGACTTATGGACTTCTTTTATAGTGATTAGTGAAACACATTATTTTCCACATACTGTATAAAGAATATCTGTTTGGGTTTGAGACTTTAGTCTTTGCAACTTTAGGGATCTTATCTATTCACAAACAGCTTGTAACACACCAAAGAGAAAGGAAAACTTGAAATCACAACATATGACCCCTTTAATAAACAAATAAAGAGGGAGACAAAGAAAGGCAGACATTTTTCTCACTGTTGTGGTTTTGTAAATTCTCCAGAATGGACTGCGATATCCGATCCCTCTTAATGAATAGTGGGCCGAGCCGTGCAGGTGACCATGTTGGAGGAGTTGCTATAACAGCATGCATTTAATGACTTGCAGAGAATGCAGCCAGGGTTTATAACAGCCAGTAAAACGGATCTGGAATATATTAAGTACCCTGTAAATCTAATGCCAAGACATCAAAGGAGAAGCAGGATTGACAAAGAAAAAGAAAGAAAGAAAGAAAGCTAGCAAGAACGAAATGGAAGGATGTCTTGTGTGTTGGTGGGAAATTATTTGTGGAAAGTAGTTTGATTTGTTTGGTCGGAGGCAAGCGACCTGTGCTAATGTGAACCTGGTGTGAGACTCTGGCACTGAGACTGTTAGTTTTAGCTTTTTGCTTTTTCTTCCATTCTTTTTCTAAGGGTCCACCGGGACCGGCTGGTGCCATCGGGCCTATTGGACCTGCTGGAATACGGGTGAGTGAAGACTGTTCAATGTACGACACATTAGGGTGATTCTCATAAAAATGTATTATTTTAAGCATATTTCACCCCAAAATCAAATGAAAAAAGACTTTATTTAATGTCATTTTAATTATATCATCATATTACAATGATATTATAAAATTTTATATAAACCATTAAGATATTTCTCACTTATGTTAAGTGAAATATATATTATTTCAATGCACGTTTTATACATTTGTAAAGTATTTCATCCTTAAATCATGAATAGCTGTAGTGACTTTTTTTATTTTTTTTAATAATTATAAGTTTATTATTATTTATCATTATATATTTTTTAATAAAATATGTATTATTTCATTATTGTTTTTGAATAAAATATATATTAACAATAATGATAATAATAATAATGAAAATAATACTAATAATACTAAAACATTATTATTATTATTATTATTATACTGTAAAGCACTTGAACTTTGTTGTTTTAAAATTGCTTTTTACATACTGTACATATATAAGTAATGTACAGTAGAGTTAAGAATTCTTATTATTTATATTTTTAACTGATAAAATGATTTTGTAAATAATTAAATTTAAGAATTTTCATAACAATTAAGCACATTTTCCTCACATGCTCTCATTACTGTAATACAGTAATAAAAAAATGCATGTAATACAGTAAACGCAAAACATCTCAGTAGTCCTTAAAATAGGCTTCATGTTCTTCATTTTTATTTGGGGCTCAAATACAACACAGATGTTTCTTTGAGATACTCATTAAGATGCGATTCATCTGAACAAACATGTGTGTTATCAGACTTATGTGGATCTATGCATGTATGTTATCGACACAGGGACCCCCAGGGAAGGAGGGACCCCCAGGACCCATGGGCCCACAAGGACCAATGGTATGTTTTTTTTGGGGGGGGGGTGTTGTTAAATTTGTTTTCTTTTACTCAGATGTGAGACTGTATTGCAGACATCTGTTTTGCTGAAGACCAGAGCTGTTATTCTTTTGTTCAGGGACCCCCAGGAGCCCCTGGAATGCCGGGACCTACTGGAAAGCCTGGAAAGAATGGAGATACAGGTGTTCCGGTATGAAACCTTTTGGTTTTCATAGACATATAACAGCACAATACTGACACTAATTCGCTAAATTGGAAAAAAAAAGAGAGAAAACAACATCTCTTTGATATTCCTTCTGAGAAAAAGACCCCAGTAATCTCATCTGTGGTTCTTCTAGATCTCTGAAACTGTGCACAGATTTGCCAAGATTTAGTAAAATCTGAAATTTCAGTATGAACTTAAGCATTTCTCATCAAATTCTTCCAAGAGCAAATGATCTGATCTGCTGTTTATATTCATTTTACAGATGAATACTCACTGTATAACAACTAGCGACTTATTTAAATGTTTTTAGTCTATTTTTACTTTTTAGAAGAAAAAGTATCTTTTAGAAGAAACATCTGATTCAAAGTTTCTTTTAATAGTTAATTGTTTAGTTTTACAAAACACGAGTGGCACCTTTCTATGAGTTTTACTAAACATATTAAGACTGTTTTTGACCTTTTTTTATCCAAAAAGTTAAGAAAGGAAGTGCGATCCACGTTGTTTGCAATTCAGTTCAATAAATATTTACTCACTGAAATGCACAGTGTGGTTTTGGGCATAAGTCAGGAGCAAGCAAGTGATTTTAGTTTATGTTTGGAAGCGTCACAGTCTATTTAAAGAGAAATATGATTTCATTCATACAGGGACCGACTGGGGTTAAAGGAGACAAAGGAGACAGAGTGAGTGATGATTTTAATATCTGCTTTCATCATTTCACAAGAGTTTGAGTGGAGGAGACGTTAACATCTCGTATTCATCCTCCTAGGGAGACATCGCATCCCAGAGCATGATGCGCTCTATTGCCAGACAAGTGTGCGAACAGCTCGTGAACGGTAATGCATTTCATCCAGTAGACTGTTCTGATGCAAAAAATTACTTGCTGTATACGATTCAAATCGAGAAAAGTACATGCAATTTTTTGCAATTTAAGCAATAAAGTATACTGTGAATATACACTATTCAATAAAAAATAGTGAAAACAGTGTAATATAGTGAAATATTATTACAATTTAATATAACTGTTTTCTGTGTGAATATATTGTAAAATGTCATTTACTCCTGTGATCAAAGCTGAATTTTCAGCATCATTACTCCAGTCTTCAGTGTCACGATACATCAGAAATCATTCTAATATACTGATTTGCTGCTCAAGAAACATTTCTGATTATTATCAATGTTGAAAACAGTTGTGCAGCTTCATACTTTTGTGGAAACAGTGATCTTTTTTTTTTTTCTTAATTCTTTGATCATTAGAAAGTTCAAAGGAACAGTATTTATTTGAAATAGAATCTTTTGTAACATTATAAATGACTTTACTGTCACTTTTGATCAGTTTACCATGCCCTTGCTCAATAAAAATATTGAATTCTTTCTAACCCCAAACTTTTAAACAGTAGTGTACTCATGACTAAAAGATGTTATGAGACATGATGTTCAGATGATCCCAAGGGTTACATTTCATTCAAATCTGCTGTTTCATGGTTTACATTATACAGGACAAATGGGTCGATTCAACGAAGTGCTGAACCAGATCCCCAGCAACTATCACAGCAACAGCCCAGGGCCCGCTGGTCCCCCTGGACCTTCCGGATCCATGGGACCACGCGGAGAGCCCGGTCGGATAGGCAGAAATGGCCTTCCCGGAAGTCCAGGGTTGCCTGGACGCCAGGGAGATCAAGGTACCTGAAACAACAGCAAACCCAAAACATAAACAGAAAACCGTGCCAAATACAACCATGTGATTTTAATCAGCCTCAAGAACTGTGGTTAGTTTGGACTACTGCCCTCGCTGTACAGTATATGTAGAAATGCTAAGACAAATAATTGAGCTGCCGTGCGGTTTGCTGTCTAAATTAATAGGAAACACTCTCTCATACACTTAAAATTAAAGGTTCTTTATTGGCATTGATGGTTCCATGAAGAACCTTTAACATTCATAGAATCTTTCCATTCCACAAAAGGTTCTTAATTGTGGAAAAAAAGTTCTTTAGATTTTTAAAATGTTCTTCACTCTAAAAAAAACTGGTTCTTTTATGAATTGCTCTTTATGGAACCCTTTAAGGAATCTTGCTGCAAGAGTTTAAGTAAGACGTTCGGCTATGGCACATTTAGCAGTGTGTTGCAGATGCATATATGCAGCTATGTGTGTGTGGATTTATATATCTGTGTTTGTGTGTGTTTTCATTAGGACCAGCTGGAGAAAAGGGAGATAGAGGAAGTCCAGGCATCGGAGAGAAAGGACAGAGAGGATCCACTGGACCACCTGGTATGTTTCATGTGCTGAAACCTAGCTTACTGGAGCTCATCTAGATGAGGAATACAGTTCTGAAAAAAACTGGAAATATCAGGGAAAATTGTGATTTACTGGGCCGTTTTTTTCCTTATGCTATATTTGAACTCACATCCGCCACTTTCATTTTTAGACAGAGCTGTTGGATGTGTCGCGTTTTAAGTTACGTAACACTTAAAAAAAATTAACGGACATAACTCTTCCAGACTTTTCCCTCAAAGAAACTATGTCAAGTCAAGTTAAATCACATTTATTTATATTGTGCTTTATACAATACAGACTTTTTCAAAGCAGCTTCACAGAAATAAAAAAGCAGTGTTGTAAAATTTCAACACTTATAAAATGATGTCAGTTTCAGCTCTACATAAGATAATAATGCCATTATTCATGTCGATGTTAAAAAGTTCATCAGTTATGAAACAAATTGAATCCAGCTATAAAGCAGCTCTAAAGAAGACAATAGTGCCATTATTCAGATTAGATAAGTTCAGTGTTGATTCAACTTTTTTTCCAGTAACTGTGTCAATGTTGCAAAAGTTCCTCTATAATGATAAACTTTATTGAGGAATGAAAGAAAGCTCTGCTGAAGAAGATAGTGTCATTATCCAGTTCAGTTCAGTTCTCATCCAGCATTATCAGTGCAGTCAAATTGAAAATATTTCTGGAAGTTAATTCCCTTTTAAGCCCCTTTTCATAAACAGCAACCTGTTTGGAAACAGTCATTGCTTATGCAGTTCTGTTTGGTGATGCTAATGGTACAGAGATTTATTTACACTGAACATTTACACTGCAGATAAAAACTAAAATATATGTATGATTTCATGCTACAATTAATATAAAAATTGTGCACCAAAAATTATTAAATAAAAGAATGCCAATGTGGCACAAGTGTAAAATTATTTTTGATAGCATTTCTGAAAGCTAATTATCTTATAAGCCCCCATTTATGTCACATTTAAAGGTAATTTCTGAGGCAATATTTTTCCTGATTTCTGTAGGCCCACCTGGTGAGTCCAGAATCGGCCCTCCTGGTTCAACCGGCCCTCCGGGCAACCGCGGTCAGTCTGGTCGCAACGGTGTCAGCGGTGTACGTGGTCCACCCGGCCCCCCTGGCTACTGTGACTCCTCTCAGTGTGTCGGTATCCCATATAACGGACAGGGTTACAGAGGTACGTCCCTCATGTTCTAGCTGTGCCCGGTGCATGACAGTAGAAATAACATTAATAGCATGTGTAGTGTAACACAGTGCATGAACTGAGCAGAAGATGATGTAGCTAGTTACAGCTGAATAATGCAGATTATCATGGGTGAATCTTACCAAACTTTTCAAGAACATGCACGAGTCATTTTCACTCCAAAATCAAAAATATCAAAATAAATAAAATGCAGCCATTTTTATGATGGCATTATTTCGACATAAACATAGATTTTTTAAATGTTTTTGAAAGTCTTTTTTGCTCACCAAGGCTGCTTTTGTTTGACTAAAATATTGTGTCATATTTTGAAATATTTTTGCAATTTAAAATAACTGTTCTCTATTGTAATATGTTTTTAAATGTAATTTATTCCTGTGAGGCAAAGCTGAATTTCTAGCAGCCATTACTCCAGTCTTCATTGTCACTTCTGATGCATTTTAATGCATCCATTCTCAATGAAATTATTTCACTGACCCCAAACTTTTGAACTGTACAGCAGCAATACAAAAAATTCATTCATATTTCTGTAGTGCACGGAATATTAAGAATTGTCTGTAAAAGCCATATGCTAACTTTGAGGCCAAAATTGTTATTCAATAAGTCAGTTGTTACAAAGCCATTAAGTCTTTTCTTTTGATTTTGGAAGGAAATATGCTCCAGATTTTCACCCTCTCTAGTATCAAAGTATCAGAAGCTAATTTTCAGTTTGTGATTTGTCTGGCAAAGAATTCTAATCCCCTCTTTGACCTGTTCCAGGTTCATAAACTTTCTAAACCACCTGTGCTGCTTACACTTTGAAATCCTGAGAAAATCACATGTTATTGGGCTCTGTGCGGATAACCAACCACGGAGATGATTAAGTGAACACTATTGAACAAAAGCAAACAAACAAACAGATAAAAGCAACAAACAGAGATTACGATCTGCGGATGGGTACTAACCACAACTCACAGCCACGGGCATCAGTGACGGCAACCGAAAACAAGCTGCAGTCGGCTGGAGACGCATGACCAAAACACGCAAAAACACAACAAATACTAACCAGGTGGATCTGTAGCCAAAACAACTGTCATTTAGCATGTTAACTCCAAGAGTTTTTGTTTATCTGGACATAAACTAATCATGCCTAGTAGGGGAAGCCCAGTCCACTAAAAAAACAATAGTTTTAACCCTCGTAGTGAGCTTGAATTCAACTGCTTGCATAATGCTGACACTAGTGCCTCTTATTTTACTGCGTGCCTTAAGTGATCTCACAGACGTTTGCTCAGGGCCAGTTTCTTTTTGTTCATCGGACCCTGGAGGTTTCTTTTCTTTTCTACTTTAGTATGTATGCACTCATCTTGCCAGTTTAATTTTCTAAAGGTTCATTTCTGTATCAGTGAGATCATTTCTCTTTCATTTGGCTGGGAGTAAGGGTTTAGAAGATTATAGGTGTGCTCAATGGCAAACTTGCCCATATCAGCAGACATTAGTTTTGATAGTAATTTTACTATGTCTATAAATAAAGGATGAATGCAGGTATCGGGCAACTTTTTGCCATTGAGATGACTGGAAAAATTGGTCCAATTATCCTGAATTAATTAACCCTACATACAAACATTGGGGTCCCAAAGTCTGCAACCTCATTGAAAATTGTTGTTGTTGTTTTTATTTAAATCTGGAAAACAGTGTTTTGAGATTTTGAAGCTTGTGGTTTCATTTGAATCTTATGTATTTGGCAGACACTTTTATCAGTATGTATGCACTCATCTTGCCAGTTTAATTTTCTAAAGGTTCATTTCTGTATCAGTGAGATCATTTCTCTTTCATTTGGCTGGGAGTAAGGGTTTAGAAGATTATAGGTGTGCTCAATGGCAAACTTGCCCATATCAGCAGACATTAGTTTTGATAGTAATTTTACTATGTCTATAAATAAAGGATGAATTCAGGTATCGGGCAACTTTTTGCCATTGAGATGACTGGAAAAATTGGTCCAATTATCCTGAATTAATTAACCCTACATACAAACATTGGGGTCCCAAAGTCTGCAACCTCATTGAAAATTGTTGTTGTTGTTTTTATTTAAATCTGGAAAACAGTGTTTTGAGATTTTGAAGCTTGTGGTTTCATTTGAATCTTATGTATTTGGCAGACACTTTTATCCAAAGCTGGTTAGATTCAAATTATATTCAAATTATTTATGTTGTCAGCATGTGCACTGGCTGGGAATTGAACCCATGACCTTGTGTGAGTTGTAGGAAAAAGAAAAGTTGAAGATCTTTCATCTAATTAGTAAGATCAAACCTTGTAAATCGGATTGTTTTGCCGATGTAATTTGGAAGGGTTTTCACTTGAGGTTTCAGGCTTTTAGACCCTGCTGTGTGTAAAGTACATACATAAAGCACTGATCCATTTACAACTCATCGACAAGCAGTTTCTAACCCCTTGCACTTACCGTAGCCAGATTGAGAAAGGTAATAATGGTATTTTTGCTTGTTGAGTGACTCAACTGGCCACTGCCGTATCTCCAAGCAGAACAGTTTCCACCTGATGCCGAGCAAATAGTCCCAATCCCAGAAGAAGACTTTGAGATCTCACCAAACCAACGGCGCAAGAGGTCACTGCCAGAGGCGGGATCTGAAAGGAAAGCTTGGTAAAAAAAATTGGCTCATGTTATTTGTTTGTTGACATTTTGACGGCTTGTACAGATAATTTAACCCTTCAAACCCTGTGTGAATTCAGCAGATCAGACGCATGAATCTCCTAATATAACCTCAAAGCTTCTTTCTGTACTCCATCGCTTGTAAAATCGCATTGAATATGTGTCCGATTGGAATCATTGACGTGTCACACATCGCAGCGTGCAGGTGAAAGGTGTTTGATAATTTATTAACTTTGAAGGGTTTCCAAAGATCATCACCTCTTCCAGCCATCTGCATATTCACCAATCATCATTTATGTACGAATACACATTATTATCCATTTCTGTCTTCATTCACCTGAGAGATTGTCTTTGTTTTTTTTTGTTTTTGTTTACATCTGCAGTAAAACATGCCCTCCATCACGATATTATAAATCAGATATTGATCATATTGGATGAATGTTTGATTTAACCTCACAGCTGATTTTTACCAAAGGTGGAATTGCATGTCTGTGGTGTATATTTAGTATGTTTTTTGTTTTTCATTTTCATTTGTAGTTGTTTGTTTTCCTTTTTTTAATCCAGAATATAGTTGTTGTAATTGTTGTTTTATCGGTATCAAATGCAGTTTTGGCATTTGCGTGCAAGACTATATATATAGTATTGCTGCTTCATGTTTGTAACTGCACATTGTGAATTCCACGGCCTTATTTTCTTATTTATTTCTGAAACAGAGGAGGCATTTTTCAATAAAACTACTGAAAATATTAAATGTGCCATTTTTTTTTTTCTTGCACAAGATTCATATTTCATTGCTGGTGTCATTAGATAAAGGGCTTATGAAATCAAAATGCTGGCTTTTAGCCCATGCATGAGATCTAAATTCTTGTATGCTTCTAAAAGTTGAAAGAATTGAAAGTAACTTCATTGCTTTCAAACCTAAATTAAAGGTTATCGGCTTTGATTTGTCTCACCCCAACCTTCTGGTTCCAAAAGGAAATGCTTCAAAACATCAATGAAATCTGTGTTTGTCAAAGTAAATATAAGTGCTTGCAAGGCAGCAAAAGAATTGTGTTGATAGTTACACATTTCACCTAATTGTCTGATTTTGCTATTTTAGCCCAATCGAGATAATTACTCATGACGTCAATTTGTAGGCCAATCAGAAGGGCTAATTTTCCTAAAAATTAGACTAGTGGTTTTTGATTTATAAGTACTGTGGTTAACTTGAGACTTTCACATTTTGTTCTACAACATAAATTAGATGACCAGTTACGTCTCAAACATGAATTCTGAAGCTGCTGTGTTTGATCGTTGATTCATCAAGCTTGTAAATACATCCCTGTGGTTGTTGCAACTGAGACCAACCAGAATTAAAAAAATAAAATAAAATAATTATTTATTTAATGGTTTTCAAACACCCTCCATCTGACATTGGGCATTTGAATCAGCTGAATCGTTGCATTGAATTAATTGCAAAAATGTATGGAGAAAAAAATAAATATCAGCACAGTGGCCGCCTTGCTATGCAAGTATTGTAATAATTATTGCATTCATTTCTTGTGACCAATACAGCTTGTTTTCCTCTCGGGCCATAAAGTGCATTGATTCGTCTTTTTGCATTCAAGTATTTTGATCAAATTAAGCACAAATTCATCTGCTTCATATTGTAGGGAGCAGATTTGATCTTTGCAGCCATTGTAATCCGGGAACTAAATTTCACATGACAAATATTAAACGCATGTGTACAAAGTCTCTTTCTCCCATAAGGAACCACTTCAAAATGGACTGGAAGCTTCTATTAGGGGCTTCATTGATTTATGGCCAAAATTGTTAAATTGTTGCATAATAGCCCACATTTAATGTTGTTCAGACACATGAATGTGTCCACGGTCCAGATAACTTCACTGATTTAGAGAAGCGTCTCATAACTGTGAGCAGCTTCCAGCAGCGCCGGTCTGGAATTTAATTTGAAAGGTATGGTGGATCTGACGGCGGTACTACAGTACAGTGTTCGGTAACGGACACGTTTGAAGTCCGTCTAGACATGCCATCGAGAGGAATGCATCATGACCTCTGATGGTGTCAAAATATAAAACACATTATCAGTAAGAGTCAAGGGTTGGTGAAGATTTGCGGCTTAAAATGACCTCAAACACGAGAACGATGACGTGACTCCATCCTTCCGACACACATTATGATGCTCAGAGGATCTGAAAGGTATTTAGATGCTTAAACAAACAGTCGTCATACGTGCTCTTCTCGACATTGACAAAACTGTCCGGGGGGGTTGTTTCATAAAACAAGTTTACCAAACAAGCCAGACGTATTTCAGTTATTCTGACTTATTTTGAACCAAATCAAATGACAATAAGTCAGACTAACTGAAATAAACCTGGCTTTTTTTGTAAACTTGTTTAAAGGAACAGGCCCCAGGTTGTTGACACTGTTTTCATACTTGCTAAAGGTAATGATTGAAAGGTAGTTCAGCCAATAGTGTGCAGGCATTGTAAATAATCGACCAATCATGGCGTGCGAGAAGGCGGGATCTACAGAGAACGGTCGACGCAAAACAAATAAGTCTATATGAGGACATGTCAAAACAAAGCAAAAACCCCGACATTTTAGAATGGGACGATTTAGATCTGTTGTACAATCCGGTACGATTTAGAACTGTACTTAAACCACACATAACGAGAAAGAAAAAATCAGTAAGTGTTACTTTTATGGTGCATTTGGTCATTTTTGTAGCTTTACAGTCCTATTATGTATGCATTCATAATATGGAGAAGAGCAGCATGAACATTCAGCTCAACATCTCCCTTTGTGTCCCACAGAATGAAAGTCATACAGTACAGGTTTGGAACGACATGTGGGTAAGTAAATGATGACAGACTTTTAACATTTGGGAGAACAGTTCCTTTAAATAGGTTTCAAAATGCGGTACACAGATGTGAGAAGAAAAACAGCGCATTAAATACTGTAGAAAGAAATTTGACTTGTCTAATAAGTCTAACAAAGAGATGTTCCACACATTATTTATTATAAATAATGAAGCATCTTTGAAGATCAAACATTCAATGTCAGCATCAAATATTGAAGTCATAAAGTATTGTAATGAGCAAATTCAATAAAAAAGTGCTAGTTTTATTCAGAGGCCCAAACTGAGTGAAATTATGCAATTTTGTGCAGTTGCTGTAAGATGAAATTTTGATAGTTTGTAAAGGAAATCAATGTTTTTTATAACAGTATAGCAGACTAGTATAAATAAAATGCATATAA